AAAAGTTGTATATACTCTTAACACAAAGAGGAAAAATGTGCTGTATGTATTTTAGCATGAGTGATCATTTTCAGGAAATGTTCCATGATAACTCAATCGGCCACTGGGTGTCACCCTTTATCTGAGAAAAATAGCAAATTTAAGCTGACAAGAATCGTAGGATCACTTGGGTTGGAAGGGATCCCAAGGATTATCGAGTTTCAGCACTCTTGTTGCATGCAGGGCAACCAACCTCCAGATGTGGTACAAGATCAGGTTGCCCAGGGCCCCATCCAACCTGCTCTTGAACACCTCCAGGGACAGAGCATCCACAGCTTCTCTGGGCAGCCTGTTCCAGCAACTCATCACTCTCATAGTAAAGATCTTCCCCCTGATGTAAAATCTAAACCTTTCCTCCTTGAACTTAAAATCATTCCCCTTTGTCCTATCGCTATCTACCCTTGTAAAAAGTTGATTCCCCTTCTGTTTATAATTCCCTTTTAAATACTGGAAGGCTGCAGTGAGGCCTCCTCACATCCTTCTCTTCTCCTGGTGTAGCAGAAATGTTAAGTCACAGCTTGAAGCAGTGATTGAGCACCTAGTAGGAAGGCAGGGCCAACCCAGGCGAGCACAGGTGCATGTGGTGCACCTGGGTGAGTGGAAACGATGGAGCCAGAATCCACCCCTTCCCAGATTTCATTTAAAGGTTGGCAGTGGAGGTAAAGATCTCTTGCTGGTGATCACTGCATACCTGAGGCCTTCTGAAGGTAAGCTGATTTTTTTTTTTCCTGTGACCATAGCGATTTTATTTGAGCAAGTCCTTGTTGCAGCCTAGGACCTTGCTATATTGCAGTTATTGCTGTACTTCCCATTGTGTTGCATCAGGCTAGACAAGCCCAGCTCCCTCAGTCTGTCTACATAGGGGAAGTGTTCTAGCTCTTTGATCATCTTTGTGGCCCTTCTCTGGACACTCTCCGAGTCTTTCCTGTACTGGTGAGTCCCAGACCTGGATGCAGTACTGTAGATGGAGCATCAGGATGGCAGAGTAGAGAGGGACAATTGCCTCCCAGTCTCTGCTGGCCCCTTCTCTTATGATGGAGCCTAGGTTACAACTGGCCTTCCAAGCTGCAAGACCATACTGCTGTTTCATGTTTAGTTTTTCATCTTCTAGGACCCCCAGGTCCTTCTCTCAAGGAGTTTTTCCAGTGTACATATCTGGGATTGCTCCAACCCAAGCGCAAAATCTTGCACTTTGTTAAGTTGAACCTCATCAGGTTTGTCAAGGGCATTCTGGAATGCATTTTAAGAAAATATTTCTTCACTCACAACTAAGAAACAAAGTTCTTACCTCTGTCTTATTTTCTGTTAGAGTCTGATCTCATCACATGCAGAAATATGTGGAAGGTTTCAAGATTGATTTTGTGGTTTTCAGCCATGAAAATGCGTTCAGCATACCCTTTACAGTTAAAATTCTGGTCTGACCAAACATTAACAAAATCAATACAAGATGTTGTTCTCATATATGCTTTCAGTCCTGTGATTTCAGTGAGAGGAGTTCTTGAAAACAGTTTTATAAATACAGACATTACTATGGCTGTTATTCAACATTTCAACCAACTATTCATGTCCTGAATCCTGCATGGTTTGAAAACTCCCCAGGAAACAGCCCTATGAATGCACATTAAAAATAAATAAATAAATAAAAATTTTAAAAAATTAAAAGTCTTGCTTAGTAAGATCTATGGACATTGGAAAGTCTGACTTGAGAAATTTTACTTCCTCTTTTCTCATCTAGTGAACAGGAACTGCATATGTACTTGTTGCAAGATTTGTACTTTATACCCTTAGACTGTAAAGGTTTAGAGAAAGGCATTTTAGGAGGGTTTCTGGTAGAGTTCTGGGCTGCAAAGCTCGGATGAGCCCAGGAGAGGTAGAGGCTGCAAAGCCTATGACCAGCTCAATGCGTTGGCCTGTATTTCTGAACAACTCCTTACATATCTGAGAGCGGGGCAGCTTTTCAGACCCTCAATCATAGACAGACTCTGGCTGTAGCCATCATGAAGCAGCCACTAAAGCTGAGCCAGGCAGCTGCTTAACAGCAGTGTTACTGAGGAAGTGAACAGTCTGTACATAGTGAGGCTGTGCAAGTGGAGAAAACCTCCTGAGGAGGACATGCAGCTGCAACTCCTGGCTACAGCCACATTAGATGTCACCTCTGCTATGAATCTGGCAGCCCTTGGTACCTGCTGCCTGGGCTGCTCAGAGGTTTCTATGAGGTGACACACAGGACAGGGCAAGGTCTTCCCCTCATGAAATCCTGCCGACCCCACGGTGCACCCTGCCCCCAGGCAACCTGCTTGTCAGCCACAGCATCCTTCATCTCCCTCTGCGGGGTTAGCAGCACGTGAGAGGGATCACGTCCTCCCTCTGGCTCACCCACTTCACCTGCAGCAGCCACAGGGCCTCTCACTTCCACCAAGTGGGGAAGGCAACTGTGCAGCTCCTGGCCACCAGACATACCACAGTAGGTTAAGAACATTAAAAAATCAGACATTTATTAGGTTGTCAAAATAAAGTCACTCATAGCAAGTGATTTGATGTCTCTTAGAGATAACAAGGGATTTAACCCAAAAAAATCAGTCTTCTGAGTTTAAACAAGAAACGACCTAATTCAGTGACAGTTCTGGTAATGCAGCTATTTCTCAATGGTTGTGCAAGTTCTGCTTCCTATTGTTCACGTGCAGCGTTACCAGCTTTCTATAAATAATAGGGGTTTTCCTGCAATATTACCATGTGACATACTCTAAATACCTACAAAACTACATTATAAAGCTGGTTGCTTCTTAACAGCTGCAGAGAGAGAGAGCAAGAAGATATCTTTCATTATTTAACAGAAGAATGACAGTGATGCAACTGAGAAAACTTTTTGTAATCAAATTGTAATAGACTGAGGCATCTTTGTTTGTTTGTTTGTTTTCTTGCCCTCAAAGGTGAAAGAGTTCATGATAAGAAAATATGATTGAGATATATGTAACAGTAGTTCAGAAAAAATGCAAAACAAATAACACAATAAATCTTCATATGAATACAGTAGAACCAATAATATTTTAATAGTATTAAAAATCATAAATTCAGAAGTTAACTGTTATTTTGAAGACGATCAGTGGCGAATTCCATGAAATCATTACTTAATGGGTAAATCTAGGCAAATGGCAATGTAGGGCATAGCAAAGTATGATGGATATTAAACAGGTATTATGGCTCCGACTTCCAGCTTTTACTCAGGACAGTCTCTGTCTCTGACTAAGGGAAAAACTTGCCAGAAATGAACACAGATCTGGGGTAATTAAAAGACAGGTCTGAAGGTGTAGAGATACTATATCCTTGACATCTATTACACTGGCATACAAATGGTTATAAACTAGAGTTTTCTTCTTGTTTGTTTTATTTAGTTAGATCTAAAGGAAGAAGATCCCCCACCACATTTACTCCACAAAATCCTCGTCAGAGCAAAGATTAAGGCCATGACTTTAATATTCCTGACAGCACTGATTTGATGAGTATCTCTCTTACTTTCAAATAGGGTTGGAATCAATGGGAAGCACCCAAATTAAAGCAACTTGAGTTGAAAGTATAAGTGCAATCACTAGCAAAATTTCTCTCTCATTCTTTATGTGACAATAACAAAACATCTGACTACTTGCACAACTAAAATAAGTAACAGCAATTCAGGAAGACTTCGCAACATTTTGTGAGAACCGAAGAATACTGTAAAAAAACAAAACAAAACAAAAAAACTACAAAACACTGAATAGTGAAAAATAATGTAAAATAGTCAAGTCACTTAATCAGATGTTGGGTCATACTACTAGCAGATGTGATGTCACTTTGCTCCTCATCTGTTTCAAAGGATGTTGGCAGCTTAATGTTAACAGCTGCCCTCAGGTTAGCCCAGAAAAGGGCATGCTTGCTCCTCTCCTTCGGCCACTCCAGGTAGGTTCTCT